CCAGACCAATTTTTGTATTTTTAGTAGAGATGGGGTTGCACCATGTTGGCCAGGCTGGTCTTGATCTCTTGACCTCATGATCCACCCACCTCGGCCCTGTCTATTCTTTTATTCAAGGAAGTTAGGAGGAAAAATTAGAAATAATATTAAAGTACTAATGGTTGTTGTTTGCAGTTCTCTATGATTTAATTGTAATTTTATGCCAAATTTATGGTGTGTCCATAATTGTTTGATAGAAAAGTCAACCATTGTTTCATGTTAAAATGCATGTTAAAATAAATCATATTTGGTTTTGATCAGTACGTTACTGAAGTACTGAGAATTACTATAGATAATTTCCTGTAACTGGAATTTATATTTTGAAGTGCTAGGAAAAAACACGTAGACTCAAGACAGTATTTGAAATACTATAGAGTTATTTTTTACTTTCAAATTATTGCTGGTTTTCTAATTGATTTTCCCTTAATTCATATAGCATGTTCACCTATACACATGAATCATGGTATGTGTGGCAATTAATACTAGCTTTTCTTTTAAGTGCTTGAATTTTGCAATCGCTAATATATGTTTGCACTTTTGGGCAGTGGCATTAACTAAAATTGCATTATTTGCCTTAGCTTGATATAAGTCTTTGCTTTATTTTTCTGGCTTAAACTTTTCTTTCTTTTTTTTTTTTCGCTTAACTTTGTTGAAGTACAGTTGACAAAATTTATATATATTCAAGGTGTAAATGTGGTGTTTTAATAGTTACATATACATTGTGAAATGATTATCAAAATCAAGCTGATTAACATATCTAAAGGGTGTTGAGGAGATGTTGGCTTAAACTTTTCTAACAACCAGGAGACTATAAATATGAGAAATGAATTATAATGAGACTCAGGTTTGGATATTAGTATTAGTCTCTGAACTAAGTAATTTGATCTAATACTGTGTATAAGAAGATAGGTCGGGGCAGGGTGTGGTGGCTCAAACCTATAATCCCAGCACTTTGGGAGGCCAAGGCAGGTGGATTACCTGAGGTCAGGAGTTCAAGACCAGCCTGACCAACATAGTGAAACCCTGTCTCTACTAAAAATACAAAATTAGCTGGGCATGGTGGCGTGTGCCTGTAATCCTAGCTACTTGGGAGGCTGAGGCAGGAGAATCGCTTGAACCTGGGAGGCAGAGGTTGCAGTGAGCCAAGATTATGCTATTGCACTCCAGGCTGGGCAGCAAGAGCGAAACTCCGTCTCAAACAAAACAAAACTACAAAACTTAGCGGGGTGTGGTGGTGCAGCACCTGTAATCCCAGCTGCTCGGGAGACTGAAGCAGGAGAATTGTTTGAACCCGGGAGGCAGAAGTTACAGTGAGTCAAGATTGTGCCACTGAACTCCAGTCAGGATGACAGAGCGAGACTCTGTCTTAAAAAAAAAAAAAAGAAGATAGGTGGGAATCCTGTTCATATCTCCATCATAGTGGTTCTCATCGGGCTAACACTAATACAGCCCCATTAAATGAATAATTGAAGTTATCCTTTTTTGTTTGTTTATACAAATCCTAGTGATTGGCACAAAGATTTTCATTTGTGCTCTAAGGAGACAGTATAGTTGTTTCAGGTTTTTAGGGAGCAGAGGCTCAATCCCGTCCCTGTGTTGTTTGTTGTGGCATTAGATGGAAATCTGTGGATCTTTAAATCTTTTGCATACATGAATTGCTTTTCACAGTTCTTGAGCTCATTGCTATAATCTGTTTCTCATATTTCTTTGTTTCATGGAATGACTTGTTTATTTTTGTTTCAGTTCGAGATAAGTTGCGGGAGATAGTAGGAGCATCCACAAACTGGAGGTATGCATCTTTGTTTTCATTCATTCTTTTCATCCCCAAGGTATTATACTAGGCTGTATTTAGGCTCAGTTGATGGTCTCACAGTGGGGATGGGGAGCCCTGTGTTCAGAGATAGGTTGAAAGTATTTTGCTTGAGGGAAAAGGTCAACATTTCAACATACTCATCAGATGACACCTCATTTTCATGAAAGAATATGATTTACATATATTCTGCATTTTTCAGAGTGCATTTAGGTATATTACCTCACTGATTCTCAAAACTTGTGACATACTCATGACATATGTTCCTGTTCCTTTTTGACACATGAAACTGAAACTCAGAGATTGAATGATTAAATGTTAGGGTTTGGGACTTGAACCTGTCTCTTAGTTTCTCTGTTTCATGCAGCTTGACTCCTTTATTGCTTCTTGTCAGTTCAGAATTCGGTCTCCCATATTGTCTTTCTCTTTCTCATAATATTTCCTAGTTGTAAAATACGATCATATCCCTGTTGGTGTACAGAATTTTGAGGCTAAAATGAGATAGAAAAAAACACGAGTGATCACTAGACATATAATAATCTATTGTTGGTATAGAAATTTCTAATGACTTATTTTTAAATTCTTTTTTTTGAAATGGAGTCTTGCTCTTTTTGCCAGTCTGGAGTGCAGTAACATGATCTCAGTTTACTGCAACCTCTACCTCCTAGGTTCTAGCGATTCTCCTGCCTCAGCCTCCTGAGTAGCTGGGATTACAGGCATGCGCTACCACACCTGGCTAATTGTTTGTATTTTAGTGGAGACGGGGTTTCACCATGGCCAGGATGGTCTCTATCTCCTGACCTTGTGATCTGCCCGCCTCGGCCTTCCAAAGTGCTGGGATTACAGGTGTGAGCCCCCATGCCCAGCCTATTTTTAAATTCTTTATATGAAAAATTTCAATTTACTAAAAAGTAGAAAGAATGAATACCTGTGTACCCACCACTTGGATTCGATGCTTATTCATATTTTGCCAAATTTGCCAACATACACATATTGACTGAACCATTTCTAAGTAAATTATAGACACCATGACACTTCATCATGTATCTCCAGTAAATATTTTATAAAACCAGCCTTCGTGTATCTCCAGCAAATAAGACATTCTCATATGTAATGAAATTGACAGCAATTCCCTGGTAGTACATTAATCATCCATAGTCACATTTCCTCAACTGTTTCTAGTTTTTTTCAGTAGATTACTCCTTTTAACAAAAATGTTTTTTATAACTTTAAAAAAAAATCAAGATCCAATAAAGGATTGCATATTGCGTCTGATGGTTATGACTCTTTAGTCTCCCCTAATCTAGATTAATGGACAGTCATTCTTCCCCCATGAGCATGACTTTAAGGAGGCCAAGCCATTTGTCTTGAGAATGTTCCACATTCTGGATTTACTGGTGTCATTTAACTCGTTCCTCTATATCCTGTATTTTTTGTAGGCTAAACATTCCTGGAAATAATTCTTTGTAAGTTAAGCTTAGAAAGACATCTTAGCTAATGTTCTTGTCAACATTGCTGTTCCATATCCCCTTGTCTCTCTTTTCTCTTCCGCCTTAATCTTCTCTTCTTTTTCTTCCCTTTCTGTCTCCTTTTCATGTTCCGTTCTTCTTTACCTTTTGTTCTGCCTTCCATACCTCCTTTGGATATAGTCCATTTTCCCTCCTCTGTCTCTCTTTCCTGAAATTGAAGGCAGAGAGAGAGACAGAACTGGGGCTCAGAGAATCCGAGAAATGGGAATATAAAGTAGAGTGGCCAAGCCATTCTTTAGCCTAGAAATATATATATGCACACTATTGTATCCATCTCTCTGAATTTTTAATTTAATTTCAAATATTCTAGTCTTTGAGCATGATTTTTGATAAGGGTGAATATGTAGCTCATTTGGGTATATATATATATGTGTGTATATATATATATATATAT